AAACAATTTATTTTCTTTCACGGCATACGATTTTGGCAATATGGGAGGTTACAATACATTCACGCATAATTCAAACCAGGGAGCTAGAACCGCTTTTGAACTAGGGTGAGAGTGAAAAATCCCATCACAAAAAGACCGTGCGGGAGTGAAAAAATCAATTCACAAAAGATTGAACTTATGAGCTCGTGACTGATGCTTCAGCAAACCAAGGCATCTATTTCAAGTTGTATATATATATATATATATATATATATATACACATACTATGTATATATCCAATAGCTATATATATGTATATACAATATGTGTATATATATATATACATATTATGTATATATCCAATAGCTATATATATGTATACACAATATATATATATATATATATATATATATATATATACATCTTGATATATGTATATACCCACATTTATATATATATACATATATATATATATATATATATATATATATATATATATATATATATATGTATATACACACATTTATATATATATATATATATATATATATATATATATATATATATATATATATATATATATATATATACATTTATATATATTAACGCCATGCGGCACGATCTTCTGAGGCCTTGTGGCATAGTTGGAGCATATGAAATTCTGCAACGTTCGCGATGCTCTATTTCCTACCAAACATGAGACAGTACGGGAAAGCGGGACAAGACGGACACCTAACGGTTTTTTAAATATGGGAAGTTCATAAGTCTGTCCAGAAAGTCTTTAGGAGTTGGATATTGAGGGCTGATCAATCGCCTATCTTTTTTAAAAGCGCTGGTTTGATATCTCTTCATGTTAAAGTGTGATCCTCCCAAATATCAGGCAACGTTTTTTCCTCATTTTGTCCCTGGCTTGGGGCAAAACGAAGCAGAATTCGGGGCAAAACGGACAAGTGATGAGATTGAACAAGCGAAATAAATATTTTCAAAGCTATCATTTTTTAATGAAAGTGCATCAATTAATGCATTTTTCGATGAGTAGGTATTTATCTTGACATCCAATAGCTATATTTCTTAAGTTTGGGCTCTCATATTTTGTTCAAACCATCCCACTCCATACTCGTTTCCTCAGTATGATCCCACGAATAAAAGTTATAATGGCTAGCAAATGTGTATTACAGCTTGGTATGAAGCGACTGCCACTGATGCATGGCTTAGACACAGAACTAGAGGAACACAGCCTGGTGGTTACACAATGACACGACAACGATCGTGTCTCAAACACACAAGTCACCGAGCAAAGTTCGCCCAGGAACACTCACTCGTTCTTTTCATCAATCCACTTCTTAGTCACTATGAACACAAAACACGGAAAGAGCACAGCCTAGTGGACCCGTCAGCAGGTACGACCAATGGCGAAACTAGACAAAACATCAGCCTGCTTAGTCATCCCGGCACAGTTCGCACACGAACACGCACTCGTCCCCTTCATCGATCCCTGCACAGGCATCGTGCGCCCATTTATCACAGAGAGCACATCGCGACCAAGACTCGCTCGATGGAGAAGAAGGACCCGCAGTACAGACAAGCTACATCTTCTTCGTCCGAGGACTCCTCAAAGGTAAGCTTTCGCGGCGTACGCTTCTTTTGTTTGCGCAGCGGTTTCTGAGTTTTTACACTCTGCCTTTTTCTTCCTTTAGACTGACTTCTGTCGTCATTTTTCTTTCCTCCCTGTCTGCCTTCTTTTCCTTCGAGTCTCTTCTCGAGTTCCTCCTTGTATGGTGTGCCAGTCAAGACACATGTTTTACCTTTATTTCGTCCTGTGCCTCTCTTCTCCCTTGAGTGCACTTTTGGAACAGGGAGGATTTCGCGGGGAGACACATAGGAGCTTGCGGGTGTGTCGTTTTGACCTCAGGAAGCATGGGTCGGTCCAGCTGAGCATGACACTTCTAGAACGTCATCTTCGTCATCGCTAGAGCTTGAGAAATCATCTGGCAGAACCCCAGCGGTGAACAACTTCGCCGGAGTTCCGGCATTAGTCGAGCTTCCCTGCCCCGATATTCCAGCCTGCGTTGCGTCTCCGGCGAGAGTTTCCGAGGACTCCCGAACGTTCGTGCTCACCGAGACATCAACTTCAAGGGGCCCAGGCATGGGCAGAGCAGCTGCTGCTGAGTTGAGACCCACTGGTTCGTCTGCGGTGCCGGTCAACGGGATGTTCGTTGTTTCTGCCGCTGCAAAGTCTTCTTTGCCAAACAGATGACGGTTTGTGGGAAAGATCCCCGTGCCTTCGAAGACCTTCAACGCCGTCTTCATTGTTGCCGCCTGCACGTATGCTGACCCGATCAGCTCCCCCATCTCATACAGTGTGATGACTTTACCAGGGTTGTTTCGGAGCCACGTTCTCTGACCTTGGAAGAAGAAGGTGCTGACGAGAAGCATGAACGTCCGGTCCAGTAGTTGAAGGCGGTGTGAGGTGTGCAGAGGAATGGTGAGCATCACCACGCCTGCTTCCCTGCACAGCAGGATGGCTGCGAGGCTCTTGGTGTGGCTGGCATGTCCATCCAGCACGAGAACTGGATCCTGTTTCGAGGGCTTCGCGTGCTGTATGAAATGATCAAGCCATTTCACGAACAGCTCCTTCTGCATCCAACCAGACTCATGGTACAGCACCAGGCTACCGTGGGGAAGACCCTTCTCCAACCGCTGGTTGGCCCTCCTTCTTGGGAATATCACACCTGGAAGTATGTAGCTCCCCGCAGCGTTGATACACATCACCCCGATAACCAGCGTGCCTCGTTCCGCAGATGTCAGTTGGCCGACCTGCTTGCACCCTTTCCTCGCCAGCACCTTCTCTTGTTTTGTTGCGACCGTGTTGAATCCCGTTTCATCCATGTTGTAGATGCGTGTGGGACCGAACTGGGCAGAATCCATCTGGGACTCTAGGCTGTCGAAGAACGCGTTGACATTGACTGAGTTGAACGCCGCGGCACGAGCAACGCTTGTGGCCTCTGGCGTCCTCAGTGAGATTGTGGGGTTCCTCTTGCGGAAGCACCGTATCGACGCTTCCCCTGCCATCTTCGCCACCGTGTTGAATGGGTGAGTGATTTTGTTCCTTGTACCAAAAAAATGTCTGCGAACTCCTATGCGAGCTTCTTGAGGTCAGTCAGCGTTATTACGAACATTTCGTTTTGGAGTTCCATTATGTGCTGCACCAAATCTCGCTCCTGAGCTTCCGTGAAAACAGGTTTGTGTCCACCCAGGACCTTCTCTGTGGCCTCCGTTATTGACATTGCCCTTGCCTTTTTCAGCCGTCTGTCGAGAGTCCACTTCAGGACCAGAAAGCGGCGTGCCGCTTCTTTAGTGGACATTTTCCCACCTTGACTGCTTTGATGGCCTTTGCCATCGTATCCTGCTTCCAGGATTGCCGGTCGGTTCTTCTCTTGTAATTTCGAACCATTCTCCGTCTGGTGAAGTAGTTCCTCTGTAAAAAAAGAACGTCAGCGTGAACTTCGAACGGATTTGGGGAGGTCATCTGCCCCTTAAGTCTCCCCGTTCCCAACCCCTCCCTGGACCGTCAATTGTACCTATATTCCTTTGCATAAACTAGGAAAACGCTTACCTGGTATGAAAAATTAAGTACAATTATCAAAAAGAAATGACTAACCTCATGCCTATAACTAGTTGGTATTAGGGCATTTCATTTCCTGTGTTAAATTATTTAAGTTTAATATTAAGGGCGATATGATGAAACAACTTCTTTGTTATACTAACCAATAAGTGTCCTAATGTTTAAGGAACAAGGAACCGTTGAACTATTTAATAATTTAAAAACAAAACATTGAATCGTGTATGTTTAAAGAGAGTGTAAGGTTTTCCCCACTTTATTAGAGTTAGCAGTGCTTCTGGGCACAACATGATAAATAAACATTAAAACTTACTACCATTTGCTGGGTCTTGCCCATAAGCAGAGAAAATAACACTTTTTTGTTTTTTGTTTTGTGTTCATGGCTTACTCAAGCCAAACTTTCCTTGCAATAGTCATATTTCAGGTGGGGCAAAACGGGATCTTTTATGCCCTATTTTCCCCCGAGTGCCCATTTTGCCCCAACCATTCTGCCCCATGGACGCTAACAACACGATTCGACACGCAACGTAAGCTGGCCGAAAAATGCATTATTGCTCGCAAGGAATCTGCATGCATACACCATCAAAGCGCAGCAACTTTGAATTCACGGCTCAGTATACTCGTAGAATAAACGACGTTCAAATCACCATAAAAACAATAACAAAAAATGGAAAGCGAAAACTCACGCCCCCCTCCAATGACGGCCGCCGACAGAAAGGCCCGGTGCACGTCATTTCCGTCCTCTGTCAGAGAAGCTTTAGTTTCAACCATTGATTTCAGATGACGCCACCTCTAACAGCCGAAATCGCGGGGTGCCCGTTTAACCCGGGTGCCTCATTTCGCCCCACTTTCCCCTACACCACCCTCGTCATCTAAAACTACCTCAAACGCACACCAGTGGGACCCGGCGCACCACTTTGCACAGTGCTGAGGTTCAGCGCGACAATCCAGATGGTCACCCTGGTGTTGCTCAGCTCCTTCTTTAGCAATAGGTTGACCTTGGGCGGGTCTGCCAGGCTGGATTTGAGCAGCTGTGGGCCGGCCAACTTCAATGCATCGCCATATACTCGATGTTTGCCATTCTCAGAACCTAGATGTGCCATGTCACACAGGTTCCCAGTTGCTACGCTTATGTTCGCTATTATACACTCTGCGTCGCCAAAAAAATCCCCCTTCCATATTTCCTGAGAAGACCTGTTGAAGTGCCCTGTGGCGAGCACCAGACACACATGTTCGTAGGTATACCGGTGTGGCAGACACGACAGTAATGCATGCGCTGCGGCGATGCCAAGATGTGACTGTGACGTCACTGTAATAGTGGAGGGAAGTGCGGGCAAAATCCGCGGCCCTGCCTTATTACACGGCCTTGGACCAGGTCACAGCATGCATAGCAGTGGCGCGGGGGCGCTAATGCGATATGTTGTGACAGGCCTGCGCGCGTAATTGGTGCATCGTTGCCGCCGTATCCTAATTGATATATGTGTTATATCCACTCAGAAGTGCAACGTGTCGGGCCATGTTGCACTCCCTCAAGTGTATTGTAGCTACACCAAACTCACCAAAGCTACTGTCGTGGTCGCGAGGCGTGAAATACTGGAGTGAGAGACTCTCAAAGAGAAAATATGCTGGGAACACTGAACAGGAGGATGCGTTGCCAGGTCTGTCATATCACCATGCTGCTCTTTTTGTTTTCGAAGCGGTGCTTTTCTTTGTGAAAGCATGGCCACATATATGATGTACTCTGTGCAGGCCCTTGCACTGGGTTGCAGTTCCTTATTGGGGGGGGGGGGGGGGGGGGGGGGGGGGAAGGCAGCTCCAGCTCCATCTCCATGCATTTCAGAGGAAAGGGAGCAAATTCTGGGCATAAGCTAGGTTTTGGTGTGTCTTGGGGTCAGGCTGTTGACCATTTTCCTCCTTAGGGCTGCTACCTGCCATATTTTGTTGGAATTACACCCTGATTAGGAGCATGTGATAAAGGCAGTCATTGTGCCCTTTAGTGCAAATCATTTAAATAGAATAACACCCCTGCCCTTGCATTATCCTTCTTTAACAATGTGCAGCAAAAGTACAGAAGATTATACTTAGGGCTGCAAAAACTTCCTGTATTGAATATGCATGTGATGCTGGGAACATTGCTGGAACATTTTCAGTGTATGTTTGCCACAAATATGAAAGTTTTGTGTATGGTCACTACCAGCTCCAGCATGTGAGAAGTTGCAGTTTCAAAGAATTGTGATGTCACAAATGCTATTTGCATGGATGTACCCAAACTTGATTCAATAATCCATTTTGAATTGCCCTGGCCTGAGTTATGTAAATGTGGGCACATGGCTAAGCACATCATTGTGGTGAAGGCTATGAGTGCTATATTTATTTCTTTTGTAAATGGATCACACTGACTTTTCATGCACTTGCCCCTTTTGAATTCCAACCACCATTCCAGAGAAATCTTGATGCAGGGGAATAAATGTTTGTGAGTTTACTAGGGAAGATTTGGTGGGACTTCAATTTGTCATGAACTGTTCAAATTTCATAGCCATCAGTGAAGGACATTGCTTGAGAATCAGTCTGGCCTCCTTTTCTTTGGGAAGGAAATGCATGAAGGGTGACATTTGCTAAATAAAAAGCTAGAAACAGATATGTGATGTTGAAACAATGACCTTTGACTGAAATCACTTCATCACTGTACAAATTGGCTGGGGGGATTTCCCAATTTTTAGGACTATTGTACAAAGCATTGCTGTCTGGAAAATGTTTATGTTGATAATAGGTATTGTAGTATGATGGTCGCTCTGGCACTAAGAGCATACCAATTTCAGCTCCAGTTTTGAAAACGCCTCCATGCATATCTTGTGACCAGCGAGTCAAAATGACCTGGCATTTTGGCAGGTTTATTTGAAGCATTAGACAACCCTTTCTACCAATATCCGGTGAAGACCGATATGTGACCGTGTCAGCCATGCAACACTGGCTGTGAGGCCACACCAGGTGCACTGCGGCATGCCAGTAGGGCTGGTGTGATAACGACTGTGTTGCATCTTATTTCAGTTATCAAGTATATATCGGAGTCCACGCGGCCGGACAACCGTGTCTACACGTGGGGCTATGCTGAGTTGGGTGCCCTGGGCAACAAGAATCTGCTGAAACCTAGAAACGGGAAGAAGCCCTATGCGTACCTCCACCGGCCGATGCGGCTGGGGTTTGCTGAGCTGAACAAGGTACTCTACGTGGCATGGTATGATATGGGTCTTGGTGTTCATTTGATGTATCCTTTACGATTGGACCTGACGTCGTGCTGGCTGGAAATGACTTTTGCATAACCACTCTGACGTACCTTGCATAACCACTTCGGAGCCACCAAATATAGCGACGCAAGGTGTGCAGTGGCGAGAATGCTCAGCATAGCACCGATTTTCCACTTTTTTGTCGGGTGAACCCATGGGTGCGAGACAATATGTGGTTGCCCTATCATGTTGGTTGAAACCTACAGTTCTGCCACAAACAGGTGATAAAGCCCAGTACATAACCCAAACCTAGTGATCGTACTCGGCAAGTTTCGGGAGATAACCCCGGAAATCCGGAGAGGCTGCACCAGAACAATTTTATTCTCGCGTAGGTTAGTTAGAAAAGCGAATTCAATACTCAATTTCACCTTACAAGCGAGTGAAGTGACACGAGGCCAAGTACTGCCTGAGAATATGTGGAATCGGCGGAACACTTAAGACGTAGGGACTTAAAGTAGATGAACTTCACTGGCGACCAAAAAACGTCGGTGCTATTTATGGAACGTAGCCAGAAAGGCGATGCGACCAACTCCCGGGAAAGAGGGTTGTAGAGGTCGCTTTCGCAGTATGTACCATGACGCCGTTTCGAATCTCAGCGCTCGTTCTCGTTACGGCCACTCTGTCGTACTGCACGTCTCGTGTGTTGCATGGTATGCGTGGCTCACATACGTGATGTTTCGCAGGTTACCGATGTGGCGTGCGGGTATGGTTTCACCGTCATGGCTGTCAATAGGCCCGACTATAAGGTGTTCGGATGCGGTATCAACACCGACTCACAGATCGGTAGGTAGCTGATTGTTTTGCGAGCTCATTGCGTGGTGCCCAGTGTCCTCATAGTTAATTGTGCTCGGCATTGACCATTCGGGGCTATGTTTATGTCGGCGGTGCGGTCGCTAGTGGTATTTCTTGTAAGGGATTAAGCCTACCGAGAATATGTTACGATACACGCGCACCACGTAGACATCTAAGGTATATCCCGATCCCTATCGTTCGTTTTGGTTTCCCACACTTTTTCACTGCCCTTACCGGTCAACTTAACGTTTACGTTAAAGGCGGCAACGTGGCTGTATTGTTATTCTTTTTTTGCGTCAGCACCCACCGAGAAGGCAGTAAATACCGGTGCGATGCATCAGTCCCCTATCAGTTCCCCATGGTTGGCAACGCAATGTTATGGCTACATAACATGTTTTACCACTTCGGACACATGACCAATGTGTCAGTTATCAGTTGACCTATACTCCGGCCATGAGAATTGCTAAAAACGGCGAGCAGTCCTGTAACATCTCCCAACCATTGTTCTTGATGTTTTGAAGGTGGGTTATTTTCGGCACAAAAACTTAACATTGCGTAATTGCGATGCAACATGCGATGCGATGAGATGCATGATACCGATGTCATAACCATCTTGCTTAATTTTCCTGTTATAACGCAGGCTTTTTCAACATCAGTTTTCGTTCTCATCAGAGGATAGCGCTTAGTTTAATGGTTTGAGTAAATTAGTGTTGCTCCATACATTGGATTATCCTGACTGCAGATCACTCCACGGCATTCTGACTTCTTGCAAAGCGGAATGCCGCTAATGTCGCGAGCGTTGAAGATGACTGCAGCTATTGGTGCGCCCAAAGTGGCACAAGCTTCAGCGTCTCGTCGTGTGGGTAGAATGTGCTGGTGGTAGAATACGTCCCTATTCGTCGTCGGTTCTGTTTGATGTGCCGCCCTCTGCTGGGCAGGACTGCAGGAGGCCCGCGCCGGCCACCCACTGGAGAGGGTCATAGCGCCTGTGCCCATTGCGCTGCCCTTGGACGACCCCGAACGGGTCAAGGTCACCAGGGTGAGCTCAGTTGATCTTGCTGAAACATGAACAGCGCATTGTAGCAATGCATTGCGTTCCCTGAATGCGCTATCGTGGGCGTTCAGAATCTTATATTGAAGACGGGTGTGGCATACGTATTTCTTGCCGTATGGCCATTTACATCTGCACTGAGACCAGAGTGACATACCAGACTGGTATCAGAATCAAGAGATACCCCCACAGGCACCATACATGTACCAGCTTTCTGTGGAGTACGTGTGTAGTACATAGCTCCGCTTGTTGCATATGACCTCCTCCTCGTTGACCTCCGTATGCGATGAGCCGCCGGCTCCGGCTCCGGCTCTACAGTTGGCCTCTGAAATAGCGCATTTGAGTCAGTCGAGGTCCTTAGTATCATTGACGTTGCACTGAACCCCGTGGCACCCGTGTCCGCTCCTGCGTACTTGTTGACGTCGGAGTTTGGTTGTCGGCGTGTGGAAGGAAGCTCGCGTGTCCCGTCGGCGTCGGTTGCGTCTTACGGTCGACAGGTTTGCAAGGTTCCAGACGTCCCATGTCACATTGCCCGTTCTTGTCAGTCCCGTCCTGGCGCCGACATATGACACTATTGGTATGTCCGGCTGCCGCCAGGTGGCATGCGGCCGAGGCCACACGGCCATTGTCACCGACGGCGGCGCCGTGTTCACATTGGGCAATAACGCGTACGGCCAGTGCGGCCGGCGCGTGGTGGAGCGCGAGGAGTACCGCGGCAGCGCCACCGTGCACCGCGTGCGGCTGGACGAGCCGGTGCGCGACGTCACCTGCGGCCAGGACCACACGTGAGTCCCGCCGGAGCATACGTGAGCCCCGCCCACAACACGCTGGAGCACACGAGTCCCGCCTACAGCACGCTGGGGCACACGTCATTCCCGCCTACAGCACGCTGGACTACATGTCATTCCCGCCCACAGCATGCAGGAACACGATACATTCGTCCCTCGTATCCTCGTATCTTGCTTCATCCTGCATCCTTGCGACACCTCGACTGTCCGGGGCAGGCTGCATGCGTCAGCCACGAGCGGGCTGAGAGCCCCGTGGGAGGGGGGACCCCGACCGGGTACCCAGCGCGCATGCGCGGGGTAAAGCCCGGCGGTTGCCCCGCCCCCCCCCCCCCCCCCCCAGGCGCATGCGAGTCTGCTCCACCTTAACCATTTTCCTTCATCACATAGCCCTGAACTGATCATTTCTGGTCGAAGGGGCTCTAATGCAAAAAAAAAACATGCTGGAACACGTATCAGTCCCGCCAACAGCATGCTGGAGCACACGTCACTCCCGCCTTCAGCACGTTGGAGCACATGTCGTTCCTGCCTATAGCATGCTGGAGCACACGTCAGTCCCGCCTACAGCCCGGTGGGGCACACGGTGAGTCCCGCCTACAGCACACGTGAGGCCCGCCTACAGCACGCTGGAAAACACGTCAGTCCCGCCTACAGCACGCCGGGCTTATAGCTGCAATAGGCCGCTTGTTGGTTTACCGTGGGCAACTATGCTGCATAATCGAGTACAGTCCTAATCTTCAAGCAGGCGTGGTAGGGGACGTTCGGTACGTAATCACTTTTGACACATGATTTTGTTGTGCTCTGTAAGGCTCACAGCTGTTTGCAGTTACTCCTTGCGCGTCATATGGAACAAGTACGCTGTGGCCATGAGCTCCAAAATCGCTGCTTATTGACGCTTGACCACTAAAATAACGCATTCAAGTTAATCGAGGTTCTCGGTATCAACGGCGTTGGATTTAATTGCAAGAATGTATCATTGGGGACCTTGGTTACATATTGCAATTTTTTTTGTTTCCTCCCGAAATCGTGTTGTTTGTTGTCAGGGCTCAGAATGAGCGTCTGCTCGCCGATAATCCCATTTCTGGTGACCAAAAACATCAGAAGTGCTGGCGATCGTGCCAGAGACTCAGGGAACGAAAATGCGACCAGCTCGTTAGATTCAACGCAATTGACATCAAATTACATCGGCTATTTCGGTTCCGCCTTATGCCGTGCCTGAGACTGTACGGCGGCGCCCCAGGGTGCTGGTGACCGTGTCCGACCGCGTGCTGTCATGCGGCGTGCCTGAGACTGTACGGCGGCGCTCCAGGCCGATGGCGACCGCGTCCGACCGCGTGCTGTCATGCGGCCGTGCCTGAGACTGTACGGCGGCGCCCCAGGGTGCTGGTGACCGTGTCCGACCACGTGCTGTCATGCGGCTGTGACTGAGACTGTACGGCGGCGCTCCAGGCCGATGGCGACCGCGTCCGACCGCGTGCTGTCATGCGGCCGTGCCTGAGACTGTACGGCGGCGCTCCAGGCTGATGGTGACGAGTCCGGCCGCGTGCTGTCGTGCGGCTGTGACTGAGACTGTGCGGCGGTGTTCCAGGCTGATGATGACGAGCCCGGCCGCGTGCTGTCGTGCGGCTGTGACTGAGACTGTGCGGCGGTGTTCCAGGCTGATGATGACGAGTCCAGCCGCGTGCTGTCGTGCGGCTGCGACTGAGAGTGCACGGCGGCATTCCAGGCTGATGGTGACCGAGTCCGACCACGTGCTGTCGTGCGGCTGTGACTGAGAGTGCACGGCGGCGTTGCAGGCTGATGGTGACCGAGTCCGGGCGCGTGCTGTCGTGCGGCTGGGGCGCGGACGGCCAGACGGGTCGCGGCGGGTTCGCCAGCGCCTGGGAGCCGCGGCCCGTGGTCGGCGACGTGGAGGGCGAGCGGATCGTCCGGGTGGCCTGCTCGGCCGACTGCGTGCTCGCCGTCAGCGGTGAGAGGCGGAGGTGGAGGGGGCAGCGCGGCGCGGCGCTACCTGGCCAGCCGCGTCCCCGCTCGGTGCGGTGCGCGTAGGCGGGCGGCCGGCCTTGTCGGCGGTCGATATCGGCCGCAATCAGGCATCCTCTAGGCTCCACGGCACGCCGCTGAATGCCCACGCGAGTTGTCTGTTAGTGCAGGTTACAGGTCACTCATTGTGAGAGTCGAGCTTCCAGGGTGCAATAAGCGTGTGGTGAAGAGCACTTTACTCTCCGGTCTGACCAGCAGGACTGGCTTCGTCCAAACGGTGTGATTAAGCCATTGGGCCATTAATAGAGCCGCCTGCTTCCCGATTTCGCCGCTGGTCCACCCAGTCACACGGCCGGTGCTGTACGGGTGTCGTCCCGGCTGTAGCTGGCAGCGCGTGATAACGCCGTCGCCGGTCCTGCGGTCGACAGAGAGCGGCGACGTCTTCGGCTGGGGCAACAGCGAATACGGCCAGCTGGGCTCTGTGACGGACGAGCAGCAGCTGGGCGTGGCGCGTCGCCTGCCGTTGGGCGTGGGTCGCGTGCGGGACGTGGCCAGCGCCGGCACCATGTGCGCCCTCATCAACGGTCAGTGTAGGCACGCTGTCGGCGCCCTTGTTATCAGTGTGTGGACGTCTGTGTCGTCACCGGACAGCGCGTGCGCCTCCGTCGTTGATCGAGTGCTCACGGGCACCTGTACGGTCACTTGAACATGAAGTACCGCTGTGTCAGTGTCTTGATATGGTGGCGCGCCACGGAACCCGAGATGGTGGCGCGCCACGTAACCCGAGGGCAGATCCAGAAAACTGCACCTCACGGTTTGTAGGGAAGTTACCTGAGTTGACCGCTTAAGCTGCGTTGTGATCCGAACCCTTGCCAAGTGTGGCCGGTCGTGAACAGTGTGCAAGCCACCCGAATGTCCCGATCCACGGGGAGGGGGGGGGGAGGGGGCGGTTTTGATGCAGCACGGTAACCCAGTAATGCTGAGAAGTTTCCGTGTGCAATGCAAATCCATGACGCGGACATCCGTCATAAAGTTGCCGAGGAAGTTCGGCGCTGCAGATGGGAATGGGGGCCCACGCGCCGACGTGCCCCGAGCGCGCTGCATCTGCCACTCGCCGCGAGCGGACACCGGCGCCAACAGGTTTACCGCTGGGACGGCGCTCTACCCGCCCCACGGTTCAGACCGTGGCATCGCAAACCTGGCTGTCATGCCCCCGACGTGCCCACCATTGGTTCAGATCCAGATCCGTTCAGATGCAGTAAGCAGCTCGCCTGCACACCGCGGGTTTCAGCCAGCGCTTGTTTGACGTACTTCCTGTGGGTGCTGGGATGAAACGCCTCGCAGTACTCTGCACTTGCGAACCAGTTCTTGTGACAACCACATCGATTCCAGTGTTCATGACCAGCTACCTGACAATGCCACTCGTGGATTGTGTTCGGCTGGGTGGTCCTGATCAGTCTCACCCCTCGCAAATGAGGTGACGTGTGGGGGGTACGGGCATGCCCGTCCTAATCAGTCTCACCCCTCACACATAAGGACGGGGTTGTACGTGGGGGGGGGGGGGGGGAGGACCGCATGCTCGGCCTGATCAGTCTCACCCCTCGCAGATGAGGTGTACGTGTGGGGGCTACGGCATGCCCGGCCTGATCAGTCTCACCCCTTGCACATGAGGACGAGGTGTACCGTGTGGGGGTACCGCATGCCCGGCCTGATACAGTCTCACCCCTCGCAGACAAGGACGAGGTGTACGTGTGGGGGCTTCCGGGCATGTCCCGGCCTGATCAGTCCCTCCACCCCTCGCAGACAAGGGCGAGGTGTGTACGTGTGGGGGTACGGCATGCTCGGCAAGGGTCCGGAGCGGAGTGTCGAAGGAGCCGTCCCTCATACCGCCCGCACTGCTCGGCCGCAACGACTTCAGCCCCTGGTGAGCACCACACGGCGCGCACGGCCTGCGGCGACATCCGCGACGGCCGACTACGACCCCGCGGATCCGCAGAGCCCGGGCGGTCTGTTTTTGTCCGCTTCTTTCAGTGCGCCGGCCTGGGCCGAATGCTACAATTTTCTCGCTGACATAGAAGCCCGGGATCCCAGTCCCACGATCCGGGTGCGGCGCAGCGACACGCACCGCTACCGAATCGACACGACTGTAGTCGCGCCCGGTTGCCGATTGCGTCAGACCGTTAGGCGGCGACCGCCCCCCCCCCCCCCCCCCACAGTCGTGCGCGGGCGGCACGGCGCGAGCGGCGGTCAGCCTTGAAGTAAACTGTGGCGTGCACTGGTGACGTGGCGCGCCTCTCCGCCGGCAGACAGCGTGCCCGTGTCGGTGGTGTCGGGCCTGTACCATCTGGCCGTGACCACGAGCGCCGGCGACCTCTTCACCTGGGGCCACAACCAGCACGGCGCGCTGGGCCTGGGCCACACAGAGGACCGGCTCTTCCCTCTGCGGGTCTCCATTCCGGCGCGCGTGACCAAGGTGGCGTGCGGCGTCGACCACATGGCCGCGCTCTGCCGCGAGTATATCTGACACCACGGCTGCACTACCCCGGCTGCATTTGATGCTACGGTGTGCTCTGTGAGGAACGCGTCTGATGTCACAGCGTTACAGCGGCAGTCGGCGGGGGGTACCACTGCGGCGTCGACCTGGTGGCCGCTCTCTGTCGTGAGTACATCTGATGCCACAGCAAAGACTGTGGCCGCTCTCTGTCGCGAGTACATCTGATGCCACAGCATTGATCTAGTGGCCGCTCTCTGTCGTGAGTACATCCGGTGCCAAAGCAAAGACTGTGGCCGCTCTCTGTCGCGAGTACGTCTGGTGCCACAGCATAGACCTGGTGGCCGCTCTCTGTCGCGAGTACATCTGGTACCACAGCGCCGTGTCAGCGGTGTATCAGTACAGCGACGACCACGTGACCGCCCCTCGCTGTGAGCACACGCCGGGGCGGCATCAGTGAGGTGGTGACGTTGAGATGGCGAGTGGTGTTGGCGCACCAATACAGCACCGCCGCACGTGAACGCGCCGTGTTTGGACGAGCCGCCGGCTGGGGACGAGCACCACACGCGACAGCCGCGAACCACTCCGTACAGCTGTATTTTGTTTCCATATGGTGCGGGCGTACAACACTGAGCGTCCGTCGCGCGCCGCGTCCGTCCGTCCGTCTCGGTGGCCAGACACAGCGCCTCGGCGGACAGTGAGCTTTATTAGAGACGTCTTCGGGGGCTGGCGAGCGGACCCGCGGCCGCCTGGTCACAACTACATCGAACGGATGACAGCACATAAATTTTCCGTATGAAAGACTTAGAAAAACGGTCCAAAAACACAACACGCACGGATGTCGTCACTACGTCGTTATCAACTTAAGCACACACTAAGACCCGAACTAGTACCTCATAGAAGACCCCGGGGCTGCGGCTGTCAGGTGCCAATCGCTAGTTTCGACATGCACAGGATCACCACGCACATTAGATACGGCACTGCGCTCGTTCGCTCGCTCGTCCCTCTCCCTCCGCACGGTAAGTAGGCAGGCTCGAAGGGGCCGAGCGGGGCGCCGCCCGGGCCGCGGGACGGCGCCCCTGCCCGCCGCCCACTATATCACCCGGCGTGTCGCGCCGCGGCCCGGCAGAACGGCGGCTCCGAACAATCGAAACCCTGAGTTAAAATCCAATATCGTCACGCTACGCATTGATCAAAAATACCCAATATGCAAGTTCATATACGACATGTTATCCAAAGACAAAGTTGAGGCGGGCGAGGCGCTCTCCACCGTGGACACACTAATGCGGCGGCAAATAACACTGGGTGACATATAGGGGGCGGGGTGACGACTTGTGAAACAGCTATCCAAAACAGAACAAAACCGACCCCGTTCATACAACTGAACTGACAGGCGAGCACGATGCAAAATCAACGTCTATGCAATGAGAACCTGGCACGTGACGATTTTTGCTAGGGATATACGAGGAAAATATTATCAACAACACTCAAGTATATGCTGGGGACACATTTTACGCTGCACGCTCTACTCAGCATGGACAAATCACGATGGCCGCTCTCCAAGTTCAGGTACGCACGGCCTCTCGTCGGAGGAAGGCATGCAACACTGCGACAGTTTGACCACCCCAACCGGCGTGTACGCTCTACATGTGGAACACTGCAACACGGCGCGCCGTATGCGCATGGACGAACTACGGCCGCACTCAATAGCAAAGGTGATGACGTTCGAATTGCTACTTTGTACGCATTTTACTTATTCAACACTAACAATGTGAGGCAGACAACTGTAATGCCTCGCAGATACGCGTCATTTGTACGCTAGGCGTATTAGATGTGAAGGGACGATTTGCCCCTCGTAGTTGGCGTCGATATTTTGGTCGTGTAATATAAGCACCACAATGCACATGACGGGACATAGCTATACGATAAGCAATTTCAACATCGCCTCACACGTCAAGAGATTCAAGGCAAATCCCACAGTAAGCACGACAAATCAAATATTGACCACTGAAATGCAAATTCACTAGTGATGGCATACAATTTCAAGAACGACACTGCACTGTGGAGATCGAGTCAAAGATTTAAACGCATCAGTTGGCACCTGACAGCCGCTTCCGCCCAGCCCACAATGACCCGCACAGAGGGCGCGCCCCACCTACGGCGCGTGGCAGACAATACACGACAGAGAGGGGGGCAGAGAGAGCCGGCGGCCGGCGCCGCGCGCGCGCGCGCCGTCCGCGCCGCGCCCGTCCGCCGCCGCCGGGCGTGAGCTTAGTGAGCGGCTAAGGAACACGAGGCCGCTCGGAGCGGAGCGGCCCACGGCCGGCCTCATACAACGAATTAAAACACGCACACGAGTGGGAGAGCCGCAGCCCGACACGAGCGCCGGCCGGCGCGCCGGCCCTTGTAGATGGATGAGTGAATAGCAGCGGAAATCATACACCAACAAAACAACTGGTAGACAATGTACTCATTGAACAGGGCACATCGGGTATCTGAAAGCAGAGGGAACACGTTTACAAACGGCGGCCGTGGACGGCGACTCAGTGAGGCGTCTGACGGCTGGCGGATTATTGTCGATCCTCCATAGCCCACTACAACATGACTTCGGCGAGAGAACACCCAACACCTACGCCATTGGAACCGTCGAAACCATGTCACACATAATGCATCTGAGCCGGTTCTGACATCGTGCACGCACGTTGCCCCCACATGCGCGGGCGCCAGGCCTGCGAGGGTCACCCTCTACGCCGCGGACAGTCAGCGAGAAACGCCGCCGGCCGCCGCTGCGCCCGGGCGGTGGCCACGACTAGGATGGAACTGGTCCTGCGGGCGCGGCCCGGCGCCGGCGGCCGAGTACTCACCGACACTACAGACACGCGTCGCGACAGCGCCGAGACGGCGGCGGGCGCTAGTTGTCTCCCGCGCCCGGGTACGCGCCGTACTGTCCGTAGCCGCCCGGCGTGCCCGCACCGTAGCCGCTGGCGAAGTTGTATTGTTGCGGCTGGTAGCCGCCGGGGGCTCCGCCAGCGGCCGACGAGGCGGGCGCCGCCGACTGCTGCTGCACACACGCGGCGCGGGGCAGCGGTCAGCGGTGGGCGCGCGCGGGGACCCCGTGCACTGCGGAGCCAGCTGGTCGTACAGTGCCCCGCCCCCCCCCCCCCACGGTGAAGCGGCACGCTACGGGCCTAGTCAGAGTACTGCGCATGGCGGCCCCACACGGGCAGAACGGACATAGGGCAACCGAGTGGTCAGCGTGCCACTCAGACACGCCGCACGCCCCCCGCAGGAACGATATTTAATGCCAGCCCCTGAAACGTGTTGCCAGCACAGTACTGGGTCCCAGTCGGGCTTCGGCAGCCTTCGCCTTACCAGCCGCAGCTGCCAGGCTTCAGGCTGCCATCCATCGCCCCTCCCCCCCCCCCCCCCCCTCTGCCGTCGCGTATCCTCGATACATACCTTGGAGACTTTGATCTGCTGCTCCAGCTTCTCGGCCTCGTCCATCATGCCCTGCGAGCGGTAGTACTCCACCCACTGGGCGCTGTAGTCGGCCTGCGCCCCGTTGGCGGCCGGCGCCCCGGCGGCGGCGGCGGCGGCGGCCGGGGGTCCGCCCGGCCCGCTGCCGGCCGTCTTCAGCTTGCTCTGCTGCTCGATCGCCTCCGCCTCGCGCACCATGCCCATGTTGCGGTAGTACTCGGCCCACTGCGCGCTGTAGTCCGGCTGGCCCGTCTGCGGATTCACGCTGGACGCGGCCGCTGCGGACGGAGCGAGCCCACGTGAGCGGCCGGACGTCGTCACCGGAGCTGTGACGGCGGCCGCGTCCGCCGCCACACCGGCCGCGCGCAGCACGCTGATGGGCACGCCGCTGCGCACGGTACCCGCCTAGATCAGAAACGGCGGCGATGATTCTGGCTTTACTTGATGACGCATTCGACATTGAATTTGAGACTGGGCATTTTCAAGGGAAACCTTACACACCTCGCAAATGTGTCTAATACAAGACTTAAACGAGATTTATAATTCATCTACGCATGAACAAACCGAGGCTGTAGTCGGCAACGCAGTCTTCCGCTCGTGTGCACACAGTCATCATTCAGCGGAGTGGCCAACGGAAAACGTCCCACCATTTCTTCCGCGAACGGGATGATCCCTGCTACGGCGATTATTATTACATGACTCGTAATCCTCGCAAAGATGGAGCAGCCATAGTTGCCGAGGCTTCAGGACACGGTAGGCAAAACAGGATGGCGCAGGAAAAGAAAAAGAGAATATGCTTAAATCAAAGCGGTGACAGGCTGATCAAAGACCGCACCTTCACCTTCAAAGAACACCGACGAAGCCGCGGAACACATCATGCCGAAATTTGGGACAGGTGAGAGCGGAGTTTCCGACCCTCTCCACCGCATGTACCCTCAACGTTCCCACACGTCCGATCACTGACATATGACCTCGTCCCCATAAGCCTGGAAGGCGACATAAGCGAAATTGATGCGCCGTAAAACACCCTTAGCTCCGCCTGTCCTACGTGTTCTTGTCTTGTGGTACTGAAGGTGTAAACTACACACACAGTGAACACTGTCATTGTCCGTGCACTTGGCTCATTGGGTCACAAAAGCTCACTGAAAGTCAATGCAACATCGGTTGAAATCTTGCACTTGAAGTGCAACTGACCTAAAAGAAAAAAAAACACGTCCTATGACGAGTCGAAGAGACAGTCATTACTGCTGGACGTAAAAGGTCTCAGTGCGTCGATCACAACAGAATCCTTCCAGGCGACGTTAGAACGGGTTTTAGTACAGCAACATAACAAAGACTGAGAGCAGTCATCCAAACTGTCGTTTTCGCTAAGATTATGATGAACCCTACCACTTTACTTTTTGGACGCAAATGAAAGCATGTTTTTTATCAGCTTACTTTGCTGACATATGAAAGGTCGCGTAGGTCATTTTGGCATAGCCAACCAGCCATCAAACTTAAGCAGAGCTGGGTAGATCACGTGCGCGAGCTTCCTTTAGTTTCATAAGCTGTGGTCTGGTACATTGGTGTGGAATCCACAAGAGGTGGTACCAAACCCATGAAAAATCTGTTTTTTTTTAACATTTAACC